GGGGAAGTAATAGCTCCAAGTGGTGCCCCCCAACCGCAGCTTCTCTGCCCTCCTGGGCTCTGCAGACTTCAAAGCGCAGATCTTCCACCCAGATTGGCAGACATCCGATGCTGGGTGGGAGTTCTAAATGCTCCATTATTTAGAAAAGGTCACCGGCGCAGAAGGAGGCCACAGGATCACAGCCCTGAAGTTCAATTTGAACTCTGTCCAGTCCTTAATGCCCGGGAACGCTCAGCACTTGGCCAGGAAAGGGGTTGTTGTAACCCCCCCCCGAAAGACTTCCCGGCAGAAGCTTTAATTTTAAGCCGGTGCATCCTGCCTCAACCAGCTCCCTCCCCAGGGAAGGAGAGGGGGGGCCAGGGCTGCCTCTCCAAACACTCCCGGGCACGGGCTGGTAGAAACAGAAAGCCCCCCAACCACTCTAATAAAACAGGGGGCTGTCACGTCCACGCCGGGGCTGGCCTCTTGCTCAGCCCCCACAACGGGTAGCATCTCACGCTGAGGGGCTCCCATCGCCAAGATCCGGGACAGGTAACCGGAGAAGGCGCGGCCGAACCCGCCGGCCGCCGAGCATCTCCGACCAGCACAGCACCCAGAACGACTAACTCGCTGAGACTGCCGGGCGGACGGCTCACCCCCCAATACCCGCCACCACGCTAGGCGAACGGAGCCGCGAGCCTCCCGCCGGTTGCGCCTCCCTTCCGGGGAGACTGGAGCCGGGGCGGGGGGACTGTCGCAGTGGGCGGCTCGAAGCAGCGCAGGCTCCAGCCCGTAGCCAGCGCTTTCCTTCCCCGAACATCCAGGGGGCAAGAGGAAAAGCAGAGGGGCCGAGGCACCGCGGAGCCCCACCCTCCCCGCGCTAAGCTGCTTCGGAGGCGGGACGCGGGCGCTACTCTGGGAGCGTCCCCGGTCCCCCCCGCAGCCCCGGGGGCAGCTGGCCGAGAAGGCGAAAGCCTCCGGCCAAGGTCAACGAGCAACAGGCTGGAGTCGCCTCGTGAGGAAACC